TGTGGGGGACAATGACGAAAAGACCGTAATATTTGAAACGGCCAATGACAGTCATTGTGCGTACCACGTTGGCACCTTCATAGCTATATCACTTCTTTTGTGCTTAGGTAATCGTAAGGCCATCAATCTGGCCCTTAGCGATAGTGCTTCTAATGCCCAGTTGCCGTTACGCTTTCATTCCTTCGCTCATAACTCCAGCATTCTACCATTGCATCTATGCGTGTATGACGTTTGTCCTCAATAAAGCTATTGAGCTATGCTGTCTACCCAGCGCACTGCTTCAATGGAAATTTCTGACTCTAAAAATGACTCCATAATTTTCTGGTAAGCAATCTCGTTTCGTTTAGAAGCATAGCACTAGCAAAACTACAACAAAAATTTGAGAATTTCAAAGATGTTAGACTTACTTTGTAGCCTTATAAAGAGTGGCAAAGGAATTGTTGGAAATTTGCATATCCTGAATAATAAATAACTTGGATATAAATTGGATATGTGACCAAAAAACAACAATCTAGATGCTTTAATTTCTTTATCCATGACGCAGAAAGAGAATGCGACACTTTCGCCCATTAGCTGCAGAATCTACCATTGCGCCCATGCGTGTATGACGTTTCTCTCAACAAAGCTGATGAGCTTTATTGACCACCAGCAGCTACATTGCTTTATTAAAGGCGCTATTTCCGCCTAAAGCAGTACAGGCCACGGAGTCACCACGTTTAGTATAGGCTGTTCTGTTCTATGTGGAACATATGAGCTGCTAGCTGGCTTGCCCGGCTCCGCTCGGTCCTGTCAAAAGAATATGATAAAGATCTCATCCCTATCCCTGTACAGCCTTTCCCTGTGCCCACTTCTATATGCCAATTCCCTATTCCCGCTGTGCTAGCAATCAGCACCTCCCCCCCGTGCTAACTCCCAGCCCCGAAGCTCGAACTTTGCAAAAAATCGATAAAATGATAAAAAATAACTGATAATTTTAGAAACTCATATTGTATTCGTAATCAGCATGTTCGCTTACCCCCCTGTGCCAACTCTCAGCACCGTAGTTCAAAATTTGCAGAAAAATCGATAAAATTATGAAAGTAATTGACAATTCTAAAAACTAAGGCCCCGGACAGACTTCACGCGATTTGATCGTCGCGACTGAATTGCGACGAGACAACTGTTACAACATCATTCCATGCCGATCAACTTGCATTTCGGTTGTGATACTTTTCCAGCCCGAAATTTTTGAATGTGAAATAAAAATGAATGGAAATGTCTTGTCTCGCGATTTGATCGTCGCGATTGAGTCGCGACGATTAAATCGCGTGAAGTCTGTCCGGGGCCTAATATTGTATTCGTAATCAGCATGCTCACTTACCCCCTGTGCCAACTCCGAGAAGCGGCACTTTGAACTGGCTGTGTGTGTGAAGCAGGATGTGTGTGAAACACAAAACTATCAGAGTTTTGTAGCATGTCTTTTCTAGCCGAAATCATTCCTACATAGCTTTGATTCCAAAGTCGTAAGGAATTATGCAAAATTATTCGAATCGCAAAATGTGTGAAGCAGTAGGACACGAACTTCATTCGCTTTCAGCAAAATGACCGGATTCAAAACTCCCAGTCAATTTTTTTGCAATTTTGATCAGGTCAAATGTTTTTCTCTCCTGATAGAAATTGAAAATCATTGCGCTCTGGCCTCCTTCCTTCGGCAAAAACTTCATTCAAGATCTCACACATGATTTATCTAACAATAAGAAAGATTCACTTACTTCCTTTCCTCTCTTAGAACTCTCCAAACTTTCTAGCCTAACAGCTCTCCAAAACTGCTATCAGATTTTTTGACCTAGTCCTTCTCCCTCTCTACACATTGCTTACTAAACTGAACATATTGGGCCAACGCTTTTACTTATCCCGCAAAGTTTTTAACCTAATTTTTGAATTAAAATGTTTCGAATAAATCCCAATTTTTATGCTTTTCTCGCAATCTGTAAATGTTCCTTTTCAGTGACCAAAATTTTTTCTATCTTGATTGTCCCTATTTTTTTCGCACAAAACTCGCGCATTTTTACGCTCACTTGAAGATCATTTGGTCTTACAGCGTGACCCAAGAAACTCCGTACTTTTTATACTTCTGTTGATATTCGTCTCGTCGATGTTGCCAATCAGATATCATATTGTAGGGCTGGTTTTTTACTGATTCGCATTTACATTATGGAGTAAATCAGTGATCTCTCCTCATTACTTTAGGTTTACACCGCACACTCTAACAACGGTCTTACACTACTGAGGAACAATTCTTACCGCTTTGAACTTTGAGGCAGCGAACTTAGCTATGAAAATTGAAGTCAATTTACATATGAAGCATCGCACATTACGATACTCGCTTATGCCAAGTACACCTAGAAAAGTGTTCTCAAAATTCGAAAATTCTGATCGCTATAAACTGCTCAAACGTGCACAAAGTTGAATGCTGAATTCTTTTAAAAGCCCATTACAAAAATTTTGAGTTTTTTGAAGAAATTATGGCAGCAGCAAAATTTGCAAAGGCCATCATGCGTTCCTACCTATCTTCCACTAAGAAACAGCAACCGATAATGCACTTCTCTATACGGTAATTTTCAGTTCAAGCGGGCTACACAGTACGATGCCCAGAGATCGGCTTGAAAAATTAGGGCAAGGTAATATCCAGAATCAAACGATAGAGACATCTTTAAGGAGCCCTGCGAAAAGTAAGAGTACCTCACAAGTTCGCCATGTTGGCATGATTGTGTTTATCTCTTAGTCTTGAGTACACCGGTTTCATTATAGTTACAGTTTACTGATCAATGTAGAAAACGCTGGTAGTGATAAGTTAATCCCAACCAATCAAATCACTCAGAAAAAAACCCAGCTCTTTAGCCCATTGAACAGTCCTACTTTGTTACTGTACTGCAATCAAAGCTCCTTCTAGTGCAGGAGGTTATTTTCTAGCAAACGTGCCAATAAATGCTTGCATACCCTTCACCGGCTTCTTCTATCCGTGCCATACTTATTATTATACTTTTTTTTCTATTACTACTATTACTACTGTTATTATACTATTAAGGCAAATTTCTCCGGCGCGGCTCTGCCAGATTTGGCAGAGCCGCGCCGGAGAAATTTGCCCGGCGCGAGTCCGCCAGATTTGGAAGAGCCGCGCCGCAGAAAATGGGAGGGGTCCGGAGCACAAATGGGAGGCCTCCGGAGCAGAAAATGGGAGGTATCCGAAGCAGAAAATGGGAGGCCTCCGGAGCAGAAAATGGGAGGTCTCCGGAGCAGAAAATGGGAGGTATTCGGAGCAGAATTGGGAGGACTCCGGAGCAGGCTGCGTATCGATTTGGCGCGTAGCAAGCAAACGTCTAACTCCACGGTGATGAGTCCTCTGTTTACGCTCTTTCTTCATATTTTAGTCGTTGTTTCTTTGATTTTGTTGTTTCTCCGCGTTTCTTACTGTTTTTTTTCTTTTCCGCGTTGCTCAATGCTTCTACGTGAAGTCAAAACCGACCCGGTTGGATGCAAACTAGCCATTATCTCTGCTTTGTCCTTGCTGAACGCAGAATGGGAAGCAATGAAGAAGGCTAGTAACCATCTTTGCAAAACTTGATTTTTGTTTTTATCCTGCAAATGTGTTTAGTTTCAAGTGAAAGTGATCCAGTCAATGATGAACTTCGACGTTGAGCTGCTTCCGCCTTTGATTGACCTGTTGCTCAAACGTTTGTTAAGCACAAAAAAGAACGCGTTTGCTGAACTATTATCTCAACTTTCATCAAGTCTACAGGTTGATAAACTACGACCAACTCGTAGAGGGAAAATGTAGGTTGACTATTCTATAATTTTTTTTTCACATGTCCCCACAGAATTACATTGGCTTGTTTTAAAGTAGCAGGCTTTTGCATATGAGCAAAACGGTTTATAATACCCTTCTTACCATGCTAATGAATAGGTGGTAACGCTTATATGGGATAGCAACAAGACGTTTGATTGATGACAGGGGAAGTGGGGCGGAGTCTGTCATCTTATAGGCAACCTTTTTGCTCGTCTTCTTGCGGAGTTCCGTAGATATGCTCACGTTCGAGTACATGCTGGTTTTCACTATGTGCAGGCGCCTGGGTTCTGTAAATTTATGGACATAAACTTTCGAGTTTTTTTGCAAATCTATATTTTTAGCTTTTGATTTTAATTTTTAATGGCTGACCAATCATGTCTATGCTTTGTCTTTTGAGCCTTCCTGTATCAAATGGTGCTAATTTCCTACCATCCATAAAATTTTGCCTGAGCCTTTTCCAATCAAACGACTTGAGAAAACCCCATTTTCAGCTTTTTGTGAAATTTTATTTGCAGGCGACATTCCTTTGATGATGTAGTAGGTGAAGTGTTTGAAAAGCTCACTCAGTTTGTTGTACTTGGTGGCGAAACGTTGGAAGGAGGTTCACCGCTTTCTTAGAGCCGTGGGAGCCATAGAAAAAGGTGCTGTAGATGGCGCCTCCCAAGAAAGTCTCATCACTCCGCCATCGGATGCGGCTCACGTAAATGATAGAGGACTTTTCTCACATTGTTTATCAAATTTTGAGCGATACAGAGTTTGGGGTTGTTCGAAGCGATGCTCTCAATCGCGCTACTGTCACTGCGAACATGTCCGCTTAATGTGTCAAACGCCATCAAACAGCGTTTCGCCCAGACACAAGAAAACCTGGATATACCAGCTTCTATACCAGCTTTTTGGTGAAGCCCTCAAATTCAAAATTGTGAGTGTTTTCAAGCGATTCAAAGTCGATCAAAATGTAAAAATTATTGTTTGTTGCAGTACTGCGAGCGCAATATGAATTCCATTATCTCTGTTGCACAGCAATGTCTATGGTCTCCAAAGCCAGATGCACGTAAATTCGGTGCAAAATTGTTCAAAGAACTTTTTGTAGCTATACCGAAACGAAGAGAGGTGTGTCTGATCTCGAAATTAAAGAATTTGTCTCATACTTGAAATAACGCGAATCTCGAGGCAGATGACCATGAGACACCTGTTGACACATGCAGTACAATCGGACATGGAATCAGAAGCTGTGCTCATTGAGCTCACCACCCTTATTGATGAAAGTCCCGAAGCAGTGGAACCGTTCATAGGGCTCATAACGGTAAGTGTCTTTTTGCAATATCAACTTTAAGCCAGTCCTTCTGTCATCTACTGATGGTGCTGCACAAGTGCCTATGTGCCTATGTATCTTTTTTTTCATCTACACCTGGAAAGATCTGCTTTGAAATATGTGCTTACGAAAGCGCAACATATGTCATGATCATCATCAGTTTGACCTAAGTTCAGGAATATTTCTTCGTTCTCGAACGCATGTCAGTTGACAATGTCAAAAGACTTTTTCGCGCAGTTTTTCGCCTATATGCTGCTAGGCCATCGACTATGTCGCATAAGGTCAGAATAGCATGTCAGCATGGCGTCATTTGTCTATCTTCCTATTCAGGATAATCTAATCACAATGATTCCATTGTTACTTCGCTCAGCTGAGCTGGCTGTACTGTTGAGAATGGAAACTGCTCTAAAACTGGAGGAGTGAGTAAGCCAAGGCTTGATTTATTTGAAGTGCTTTGCCACACTGAAAACCTTCAGACTTTATTTAGCTCCCCAACAAGAGAGGAAGATGTGCGAAGTACATTAGAACTCTTAGACGAAGCGCGTAATTCGAATCAGTTTGTGCGAACTTTTTGCTATGCCGAACTAGCTGAGGTGTTGCGAACTTGTTTTGGATGTTCGAAGTGCATAGCTATGGTAGGTGAATGCAACTAGTTGCGATAGAGTGATGATGTGCACTTTTCAGCATGAATGGTTGACGGTATTCATAGAGGAATTTCGCTCAGATTTTTTTACTGATCGCTATGAGTTATTGGGGTTAGTTCCATCTTTTTTAGACGTGAATCAGCTAAACAAATTCTTCGGTTTTTTCTTGTTTTTTTTAACTCAAGAGTGCAAGTCAAATTAAGTAAAATATTGAATTCACATTGTTGAATCATGTACCATATGTTCTGGAGTAATCGCTTTTTTTGCGCAATTAAACTGCTCAGGCTTGGACTTCGCTTGCAAACTTGAAGGCGATTCTAACAAGCGCTTGCAAACTTGAAGGCGATTCTAACAAGGGGACGATAGTAGGTCGAAGTAGCAATCCTGCAGGAAATGTAGACTATCTTACAGAGCATGGAACGCTGATTCCATCTGCTTGCATTATCTGCAAAGCATTTCTGGGAGGGAAGTTATGGGAATTTTTTGAAGCAAAAATTCTAACGCGCAGCTACAGTAAAATCATTTAGAACTGTAGTCCTTAAGCTCGAATGGAGCCATATTTACTCCCAGAGCGCTTCATGCAGTTAATTCTTTGAGTCTAGCAAACTTATGCTAGTCACTGCTCCATAGAAGTGCCGGAAAGACCTCAAAACTTGCTTTTACCTTAGCCAGAATTTTAGTTTTTGTCTCGAAAAATTCTCATAACTCCCTTCCCAGAAGCACTTTGCAGATACCCAGAGCAGATTTGGAGTCCGTTTTCCATGCTCTACGTCGACCAAATATCCTTCCCTTGATAGACGCATTTTATTTGAAAGAAGATATCGTGACTGACAAACAATGAGTCTCCCTTTTAGGCTGAGTGCACTCACAAGAACTGCTGTAGAGTTTCTCATCATTACAAGTTTTTAGTGAATTGGAAGGCGAAAGATATCTCAACCAAGACTCAAACTTGTGGCTGAAGTGTTCAGATGGACAGAATCTTGGCGAGGCCATACCACTTCTAGAGGCTGCAATGGTACTCAGTAGTATACTTTTATTTATAGGCTTTCACTTCTTATTAGCCTTTTCCCCAAAATCATTTAGGAAGCTATCAAGCTGCAAGAGACATGGCCTGAAGCGGATACTATAGAAGCCACCCAACGAGATAGATGGTCCAGGATTTTCTACGCTCTTAGTATGTTTTTTGGTGGGCTCAGATCACATCCTATCCCTCTTTCTGTGAGAAAAAAGCATTTTTTAATGATTGTCTCAGGTGCAAACATATGCGTACAAGGAGTCGATGAAGTATCAAAAGACGCATGCGATACCCTATTTCGTATCACACAGTGGATACGCACAGTATGTATTCAATTTCGTGGAAGGAGGCACCACATATTTGATGCTTAATGCCCGTGCGATTTTTTTTTGAGAGAAATCTTTTATATAAAAATTCGGTTTTTTCACGTATTTCGTCTTCTATGATCTTAGAGGTCTTTCTTTTTTTTTCAGCTTTTCAACGTATTTTCTGAAGAGCATGCTTGTCCTGGTGTAGTTAATTTGAAATAAATGTCTTGTTTCTTCATTCTTCTATCTTCTATCCACAAGCGCTAGGGGTGAGAGGGAGGGGGTAAAGAACGGGGTTGAGGGTCGCGCTGAACTCTTACCCGGGGGGGGGGGGGGGTCGTATTCGGCTAATTTGGGTGGGGTTTAGAGACATAATTGGGGTTTGGAGCTTAATTAGGGCTAATTACAGTATGCCGCGGCAGACTTGCGGAGCAGAAAATGGGAGGGCTCCGCCGGACGAGTGGGAGACCCACCGCTGGGGAAACGCCGCGACCCTGCCATTTCTCCGGCGGAGGGGTCCTATCCGTTGCCTGAGAATTCCCTTTCCCACTATCAACAAAGTTCTAAGCCTTCAGACAACGGATAGGACCCCTCCGCCGGAGAAATGGCAGGGTCGCGGCGTTTCCCCAGCGGTGGGTCAGCCACTCGTCCTCCGGAGCCCTCCCATTTCTGCTCCGGAGACCTCCCATTTTCTGCTCCATAGACCTCCCATTTCTGCTCCGGATACCTCCCATTTTCTGCTCCAGAGGCCTCCCATTTTCTACTCCGGATACCTCCCATTTTCTGCTCCGGATACCTCCCATTTCCTGCTCCGGAGACCTCCCATTTGTGCTCCGGACCCCTCCCATTTTCTGCGGCGCGGCTCTTCCAAATCTGGCGGACTCGCGCCGGGCAAATTTCTCCGGCGCGGCTCTGCCAAATCTGCCGTACCTCCGGAGCAGAAATGGCGTACCTTTGCAGCAGGGCCGGAGAAGCGTCCCATTTGCCTGCCAGTGATGTCACCGCGACGGACCGCGCATTTGCCCCGCTCTCATTGGTCAACTGGGTCCGGCGCGACTCTGGCAGATTCGGACTGTCCGGCGGAGGGGTCGATTGTCTGAGCCATTCTTTCTCTTCCTCCCTCCCCTTCCCCACCACGCCATTCGGAATATCTTTCACCGAAGAATAGGAAAGAAAATACAGGTGGTAATTCAAAAAGTTTTCAATAGTTTTTGTTCTTCTTTTCTACGAAGCTTTTCATGAACAAGGATCTTCTTATCATAAACTCTTCGGCTTTAGATAGAGCATGGAAAGTGCTTCTAATGGTAGGCTAAATGTTTGAAAAAATGAAAGTTTGATAGAAAATTTTAATGAAAAAGAGCCTCCAAAAACACTCATTATCGCACCAACTTTATGTATAGCCCTACTCTACTTCATAGCGATAGCTGCAGCGTTATCAAACCAAAAGATGCAGAACATGTCACGTAAAAATCTTCAATACCATTGACCCTAATTTGCAGATCGATCAAGCATATAGAACTATTTGATTTCTACGCTTCCATCACTCTTCTGCGCTGCCAGCCTTTTTGCCCAATTCGATCGAATTATTTCACGTGCTGACAGATCGCTCCAGTACACGGAATGCTCTGTTTTGACCTTAAGTCGAATTGAGCTTGCGATTGAATCAACAGTGCAATCTATAGGGTGCGGAAAAAGTACTGCCCCTTCAGCTTGGACCCTGAAATACCCCAAACATGAAGCAAATTTGTAGATTTTTTTTGATTCCCACATGTAGGCGAGATCCTTGAGAATAGATAAAGATAACTGTTATTAGAGGCGAGTCAGGACTGCGCTTGCTCAATGAATTAGATTCAAACTATAATCTGAAATTCTAGATTCCAACAAAAACTAACAGGAATAATGAAAAGAGCGTCGGACGTTGTCTACATCACGAATTTGGAGCGATTAACGATTCCTAGTCTTTGTGCCACGTTTTCTGATCGCACTTTGTTGCTCCGCAGCCACTTACTCGTTAGAAAAATTCACAGCTTTTCTCCTAGTGCAGCTGTTGGGATACTTTCAGAATATTTTGGGATCCATTACCACATTCCTTGAGCAGTAAAGAATCTCTCAAGTTGCCTGACAAATGCCTGACAAACAAAAAAATTTCCCAAAAATCCTCGAACTTCTTCACATTTGTAAAGGGGAGTTGCAAGATTTGATGTGTGCGCAGCGAAAAGGGATTCGCCGTTGGGTGGAATTGTAGAATTTTGAAGTCAGTTTTTGAAAAATCCTAAAATATATTCACATCTTGAGAATTATGACAAATTTACCAGAAAAACTTGTGAATTACGCCAATTTTTTTTAAACTTTATTCTGAGGGACAGTACTTTTTCCGCACTCTGCATAACGTCGGGACCGAAATTAGTCCAATTTAGCTTTTCGCATGCTAGCCTAAACTCTTCTGCAACTCGTTTGGAACACTTGGTCACTACAACGTTGTTCAATACATTGTGAATCACATTACGAAATGCAGAATATTCGAAACCTAAAGCGAAAGATAGATTAAGGCAGTGTTCGAATCCATGGCAGTGAGGAATCATAAGTGCAATTATACGGGGCGGAGCTGGGGGGGGGGGGGTATCATGGAGCATGATGGTAAACAACCCAAACGTGGCACAGACAGACCGACATCGGCCGCCGATGACGTCAGATGGGGATCTTTACTATTGTAAATAGAAGTTTATGTCTGTATATATCCGGTATGTAAACCTACATTTATTCTTTTCCTTTTAGCCTTTTCCCATTATCACTTGTATAATACCGTACGCTTTCTTCTTTCCCATACCCTTTGTTTACAGATGGCACAACGATAGCTCGACGCGCAACTATGCCAAGCAGAGGAGGAGTCTGGCGAGTCAGTGAAGAACCTACGACCAGCGAGCCACCACGTCTTTGGGCTCCAATCTCATTCTTGTTGTGTTTCTGTTGTTTTCTTTTGCCGGCTTGATATATTTGCAGTTGTTTCTGTTTGTTGAGATAAACACGTCTAGTAAGACTGTGTTAGGTGTACACCTGAGGCGTATTTCGCATTAATATGGTATCGGTCATGTAAGAGGGTGACATGGTATCCATAAGTGGTAGCAGCGAGTGCGGCCTCGTAGTAGCCCGCGACCCAAACCGACCTTACCTCTTGTAGGAATTGAATTCCTCATGAGAGTAGCTCATGGGATGACCGGTTCAGCCTCAGCCGGGGGTGAGTTTGATCGGAAAATTGTGCAGCGTAGAGTCTGGGGGATGGCCACCTATTAGATTCAAAATCTCTCTCAATTTTCTCTTCAAATCATCTATCTTTTGGATTTTTTTTTGTTGGAATTTTGTCGCTGCATGGCAACACACAAGAAATGAATGATTTTTGTTCTTCACTCAAACCTCGTCGCCCATTTGGGGACCTGGGAGCCAGACAAGTTGAAATAATTGGTCCTTGCTGGCCATTATTCACCAAAAATGTGTGATTTTCACTTGAAATGATTATTCCGGAAAAATGGTGACATTGCTATTGATATTGTTGTTTCCTTATTACTCTGGGTACGCACGCAGAAACGCACGTTACATCACTCTTATATCATCCAAAACCCCAGTCTTTTTAGAATCACGAGGGGCCCCCCCACCCCCCGTTTCCGAGAGGCAGGAGGGCCAAGAGAACCCCCCATAAGCGACGGATGTCGGCGCATCCCACTTTGCAAGAAGGTTTTTGATGGAGGGTAAGCTTGGAAATACAAGCAGTAGTGTGCTGGAACGATTGCAAAGCTTCGGCCCGGGAGGGGTATTGAACCCTCCTTGGACTAGCGAGAGACAGACTCGATCGCCTTGCGCCATCCGCCGCTTATCAACAGGTACCTTCCCGAGCTAATTGATCCTGGTGGCGCCGGTGACCTGACGTGGCGATACATGTCAATAGCTGGCAGGAAACGGCAAGCTAAGCGAACCGGTCAATACATGGTAAGAAATGTGGCACTCAATAGATATCGATCATTCTATTCCAGCCACTTACTTCTCTGCTATTCTATCCATCACGAGGACCTCCAGAATTAGGTGAGTTTTTATCATATAATAAATCCATTTTTTTTTCGCGTAGAACGCTGTTTTCTTCTCACTTAGTCTCGTTTAGTCGCATTTTTGAGGAAAATGCATCATTTTTGTATAATCTTACTATCTGCTCATTCATGTTACATTCTCGCTACTAACTACTTATAACATTAGACCTATCCTTGTCTTGCAAGTCTTTCTCAATAACCTCAATCTTATCCAAACTCCCGCTCATGTGCGATGTTTTGAGCAAACCATGATTCCGTGTTGTTTTCGCTAAGATCTTTCTTTCTCGTGCACTTTTCTTGTACTTATATTCTTGATCGCAATCTCTCGTATAACTCACAACAAACTCTGTGCAAATTTTGCATATAACTTTTCGTTTCTTGCACCAAACCACCAAAAATTCAAATTTGCAAGCGTAAAACTTTTCATTATGCACATTTTTCTTTGTCCGTGCCCCAAACTGAGTTTCATTCATGCCATCTCGGTTTTTCGCGGCTAAATCACGCAACAAGTTTTTCTTTGTCTATCATAAACATAGTCTGCGTGCAATCTCAAGCATTCCTATTCAGCGTTTGAATTCCCATTCATGATCTCATGCGAACTTTGGTATGTTTTCAAGCGCGATAGCATCTTTGTCCCTTTGTGTGAGAAACTCTCATACAAAGCTTTCTCCTATCTTGGCTTTCATCGAGCACATGTTGCCGATGGCAGAAACAAAGATGCGGCGCGCACAAAGAGCACATACCATCGGGGATAGTATATAATAAGCCGTCTTAGGAGACGAGCACCCACTCCAACGCTAAGGATCTGGAGGAGCAACGTCTTCTCCACACTCAAGCCAACATCGCTCGCATCAACACCCGATCGCGGACCGCAACACAGGACAACAACGACTCTGCTCGATCATCACCTCCAGAGACGGTAAGTCCAGTTGATTCGGCATTGACTACCGGTGAAGGTATGTCTTCATCGGAAGTTAATGTTTTAAGTCAAGCTTATAGCGGCCTTGCCCTCGGGAAGCTCGCGCCCAAACATATTGAATACTTCTTCGGTGATAGCACCCAAGATTTTAATGAGTGGCATCGCCAGTTTGAAGACATTATGCGCAATTCTGTCGTACCTCTGCCGGAACAACTTAAAGTCAATGCACTTTATGCTATTTTAAGAGGCGACGCGCGCGATATCATTGAAGAAATGGCCCCCGAGGACAGAAACAATTATGATAAGGTAGTATCGTTTCTACGCTCGCATTTTGAGTTGCCATATTCTCGCGAAATAGCAAGACAAGAACTGGCTGAATGCAAGCAAAGAGCCAATGAAGATGTGGACTCTTTTAGTAAGCGCGTCCGAAAAGTGGTCCAAATTCTAATGAAAGGGGCGCCTAAGAACATTGTGCAAGACAGGCTTTTGGAAGAATTTGTTAATCGCCTAAAACCAGATATGAAATGGCACGTCAAAGCGCAAAACCCCAAAACTTTTGAAGATGCTCTGGTAAAGGCAATTACATATGAGTCTTTATGTAACGAAATGTCCGATGTAATGGTATTCAATCCAGATCTACGTACGTACGTCGCAAGGAGAGAAACCGATGACGCCAGGAGAGACTTCAACCGTGAAAGGAGAGACCACCCAACTAACAATTCCGGACCGAGAGAGGTAAGATCATTTTCTAATAGATTTAATAGACCATCATGGCCGCGTTCATCCAATGCGAATGTGACTTGTTACAAGTGCGGAAAAATTGGTCATCTTGCTAATGTTTGTCGCTCTAGTATGCCTCCCCCTAACAACAATTTTCAACAGCGGCGTCAATTTCCAATAAGGAATAATCCCCCACCAAATTCGAATCATAGGCAAAGTCCAAGAGAGCGTATAGATTACTCTCGACCCCTTGCGCAACGTAATTCAATCCCGCATCAGCGATCAGATAGTTACGACAGATCCAATGTGCTAGCAGTAGAGCAGACACCAGCGCCAGATATCACTAATGCGCGCACTCAATCTTTGCTAGAGGAAAAAGATGCTCATATTGCGGCACTAATCGCCAGAAATAACGCGTTGGCAGACATTGCGTTTGCAACCCGTGAACCAAACAGTTCTACAGATGGCGGAGAGATAACTCCTCGCACATTCTCCGCCACATCCGGTCCTTCTAAACTCACATCCACATGTATGTTAGTTCTCGCTTTGATTGCTCACGCATCTGCATACGAATTACCTCCTGCGTACTTATGTTCTAACAAATCACCTGTCACATACTGGAAGATACCGTCTGGGATCAATTGTACTAAAATTTTGCCTAGCTGGTCTGCGATAGCACGCCCAACAAAAATTAAAGTGTTTAGACCAAACACAATGAGGTATAAGAGCACAGCTAATGTTTGTAGAATAATTACCTAAACAGTCACTTATTCGGTAAACTTTTTTGGTGCTCGTTCACAGGATACTGTAACGAAAGAGCAGACCGTCTCAAAAGGGGTGTGTCAGCACATGATCAGTCACAAAGCTTGCGCTCATGGCGAACTTTCAGCAATAGGTAACGTTTGGAAAACTTTGAATAAAATTGAAATTGTTTGGCCTTCCGCTCCTTTCCATTGTTGTTCGGACTATACCATGACTGTTTCAAATTGTATCATATTCCAGGCAATGGTATATGGTTATCACGGATCTCCTACGATCGAAAGCTCCATAGGACCACTGGAGGGATGCCGATATGAGGACGGAGCCTGTACAACGAAGGATGGAGCAGCCGTAATATGGACACCGGAATCAGAGGAAAGATGTAAGTATGTTTTGGTTTCGCCCATGAAAGGCACTTTGGTAGATAGAGTATGGCTAAGCGACTCTAAAGAATTTGCTCTATCTTTTCCTTCATTTGATTCTCAATTTCTTGATTGTGGTCACTCTCTTGTTCCTACTGACCAGGGATACGCTGCTCAGTTCTATCCTCCCATGCCTCGTCAAAAAAGACACATTAAGCCAACAGTTTTGCAACAAGTTGGCCTCGCAACTTCTAACCAATTGGCCGCGCAATTATTAGCAGTCGAGGACAATATGCAAGATTCATTGACTACATCTTTTCATCATACCATTCTGTCCTTATGCAAATCTATGAATTCTCTGAGCATGTCTTTTGCAGCCACTATTTCCGCAAATCCTACTGTAGCCATGCGAGATATTTTACAGCGTTCTGATATCAAAGCGAACTTCATAGGCGAAAACATTGTCGCTACGCAAGCTTGCGCTGTAATTCCTCCGTCGTTATATTCTTTAGTGAAATTTAACTCTTCTTGCTTTTCACATCCCTCCGTCATTGTTAACTTGCCTAATAAATCACAATGGAAAACATTTATCGATCCCATAACGGGAGTTTTGACCAATGAGGTAGATTCTATTCCTTGCTCTGAACATTTATCATTTGAAATCCCTTGTAACAACTCTATTCTTAGATTTTATCCTCTTACATATACTTTCGAATCTATATCTTCCTCCGATTTTACCACTCTGCAACTCTCTAGTGATCATTCACCTCATTTCGTGAAGCCAGCTCTTACTCTATTTCATAATTTGGTTATTACTAATCTAAGCGAGTTCATACCTGAACAACAAATTACTGAATTGTGGGCAGCAAGCGAAAGTCATGACGCAGTTTTGAACGCACACTTGGGCTCTTCTAACTCTAATCCTGTACAAAAGGCCGCAGATGCTAATTTCATTAGTGCAACACCGCGTAAATTACTCAGTTACGTATTGGAGTACATTTACCATCCCTGGGTAGTGGTCTGTTGTGCTATTGTTACCTTTCAAATACTTTCACGCGCTCTCATATTTTATCTTTCGACCCAAATCCCAACCAACTTCTTGCAATATTTCCGCAACTTCCAATCTAGTAATCAAAGTAACTATTCCAATAATCAAGCCAACGATTCCAATGCAATGCAACTAACAACGATCAAGCGTTATGATTTCCCTAAAGTTTGTCATGTATCCCTGACGCACCCGGTTACATCCGCGCATATCAGAATAAAAATCAATGATATAAGCGTATCAGCGTTAATTGACACGGGTTCAACCATAACACTAGCTTCGGATGGGATATGCGCAGCTCTAGGAATATTCCATCTTGACAAACCTCACATGTTCGCAGCATTAGGCATGGCAGGCACTCCTATCCCAATGGCTGGTTCTAAAACTGTCAAATTCGACATAGGTAACACACAGTTATACGCGGTTCTCCATTTCACCAAAGGCCATTGTGTACCCAATGTAGACTCCAATTATGAAGTAATTCTGGGGCAAGATGTTCTATCCAAGCTGCACCCAATGACTATCAACTATCAAACAAAGCAAGTGCATTTCGGTAGTACAGTACTCCCCCTGGGTGCAACCCCTAAAAAGAAAAGCGATCTGAGCGAATTAGAGTACCCAATTAGAGTGAGGGATACGGTATGCGTGCAACCTAATAGCGAAAGTTTTGTAGTGTGCACAGTCCCGCCCACAAACTCAAAGAATGACTTTGTCTTGGTGTCACAATGTACAAAATTAAATGAAAAGGACCTCGTAGTAGCTCCGGCCATAATTAATTCTGAGACACCATATATTTTGGTGTCTAATCCAAGCAACCAGCCGGTAACTCTATATGCAGGCATGCGTATAGCTAATGCCGCTGAGGTAATTCAAGAGGGTCTTACGGTGACTGAAGCTGATGATACGCAAATTACTCCCGCAATCTCTTGTGTAAGCGAATTAACTAGCGATGACCCGAGCTACCGCGTAGATCTTGACAATAGCGATCTAAGCGATGTAGAACGTGAGCAGCTGGCAAATTTGCTTGTAGAATTCGCCGACGTATTTTCTAGACATCAGTATGACATAGGTAGCTGTACAGCGGGTAAGGTGCACATTTACACCAATAATGATCCACCAGCACGCATCCGCCCATACCGCGTCCCAGTAAAGTATCGCGAAGAGCTACAAAAGCACGTTAATATGCTTTTAAAATGCGGCGTAATGAAGGAGTCACACACTCCATGGGTGCATAATTTAGTTGTAGTGCGTAAAAAAGATAATTCCCTGCGCGTCTGTTTAGACATGCGCCGCCCAATCAATGAAGTGACTTAACACTTCCCGATCCGTACCCAATCCCCCGCATTGACGATGTGCTAGAGAAAATTGGTGGAAATAAGTATTACACCACTCTAGATCTCGCTAGTGGCTACCTACAACTGCCACTAGATGACGAAAGTAGTTATAAATGCGGCGTAATAACTGAGAATCGGGTGTACCAGATGACACACTTACCATTTGGCCTCAAGTCTGCTAGTAGTTACTTCGCTCGCATAATGACCCGCGTGTTAGGAGGTTTAGAGGATAATGTACTTACATATATTGATGATATTCTCATCTATAGCAAAGATTTCCCATCCCATCTCAGCGCTATCCGAAAAGTGCTAACACGCCTGCGCGAATTCCACCTCAAAGCGTCGCCCAAAAAGTGTGTCTTTGCTAAACATCAAATTACGTTCCTGGGGCATACGGTAAATATGCACAGCTATTCTCCTGCGGAGGCAAATACCCGATCCATAAGAGAATTTCCCACCCCGCGCAATGTCAAGGAAGTTAAGCGTTTTGTGGGTATGGTAGGATTCTTTCGAAAATTTATTCCAAATTTCGCAACCATTGCTGAGCCGCTCACTTGGCTAACGCGTAAGGATAATAAATTCCAATGGACCGACAAGCAGGAAGCCGCCTTCGTAGAGCTTAGAGACGCGTTATTGCAAAAACCCATCCTTGGGTACCCAAATTACGATAAACCTTTTCACATTTTTACGGATGCCAGTCAGGTAGCTCAAGCGGGCGCTCTAATGCAGGAACACGAAACGGGGCCAAATAAATACTATGCCATAGCATACTGTAGCCGCACTTTAAGCGATAGCGAGCGTCGCTGGCCCGCGGTACAAGTAGAACTAGGTGCGATTATATATGCGTTACGCCAATTCAAGCCATACATCTGCATGTCCGAGGTAGTTCTACATAGTGACCATAAGCCGCTCACATTTTTACTGAATAAAAGTAAAACGCATGACAACCTAGCAAGGTGGATAATTGAGCTGCAGAGTTACAACATCAAAGTTGTACACGTAAAAGGCGAAAAGAATACGGTAGCCGACGCATTATCGCGCATTTTCGAGGACAAAAGCGAAATTCCAGTAGTCAGGGACGAGTTGCAAGACATCATCGAATTCCCAGTGAGTTTACAAACATTCTGCTTAACTACAGGTGTGCAAGCTAAATCTTCACCATTTCCCAGAAAAACGTTCGTAAAAGGCCTACAACACCCTGTTAACTTTGCAGATGAACAAAAATCTGACAGCTTCCTAGGGTTAGTTTTTCAGCTAAAAACTACTGAAAACTTAGAACCCTCTACTGATGAGCAAATCAAAAAAGAAGTATCAGAAATGGCCAACAAAACAACTATAAAATCCGATGGTTGCTTGTACTATCGATTTGAACGAAAAGATGCGGTAAAACTGCTCTTATTGGTACCCCAATCGTTGCGACAATTGCTCTTTGAAGCTCATCATTCTAGCGCACTTTCAGGAGGCCATGTCAGCTGGCGAAAAACATTAGCCAAGATTTTGCGTAAGTACTATTGGCCAA